TGGTGCTGTCATGCTTGCTTTTATGATACAGAACAAATTCTCACCCAGTTTTTAGTAGCATTGTGCATTTCTCTAATGCAGAAGAGTAGTGCTTCTAAGGCTGGATCCAAGAGACCAGCTTGTAGGAATTTAAAAAGCATTATTAAATGCTTTCATGAAATAGGACTTTAGAAGTATCAGATAAGCATATTTATGCCTATACACATCATCATCAGTGTCAAGAATCTTCAGGTATATAAATCTGAAGATGACCTTTAAGGAACAAGGGAGTATCCCAAGAACATAGACCCTTATTCACAGGGAAATGGTAGCTAACACTTTAGCATAGTCTAGAGCAGAGATACTCTAGGAATATCTAACTGTCTGGGTGGCGTATTTTAATCAGTCATCATCAACAATTAGGATGGACTGTCCTAATTGATGAGACATTAAAGTAGATAATGCCAAGTCTTAGGTACTGTGGCTGTTTTATCTCTATTCATCATTCTTCTGGTGAATATGGAGGAAGACTGTCAGGGTCATTGTTGTCTCATGATTCAGCAAATATTCACTATTACATTTAGCCATGACATCAGATAAATTGAATGTACCTTTTGGGGGGTCAGAGGTTGGGGGGTAAAAGGAAGAGGGGCTCATAGCTAGTAACTCTTCTCTTCTTCTTTCTCCTTCCTTCCTGACAGCTTTGAGAGCACTGTGGGCCAGGGGCAAGACACGTATATGTACAGATTCAGGGTGTGCAGGGAAGCTGGTAACCACTCCTCCGGGGCAGGCCTGGTGCAGATCAACAAAAGTAACGGGAAGGAGACAGTGGTGGGGAGAATCAACGAGACCCACATCTTCAATGGAAGTAAGACTCTCACTGTTGACTGATTAATTGATCCCAAATCAGTCTCTCAGGCAATCCTGTATGTCCCTCCCCGTCTCTTCAGAATATCATATGGTATGTGTGGTTCAGCATACCTCAGACTATAAACCACAGGATACCTAGTCCCACAGCTCAGCTCCTCTGGAGCCAGGGCTCAGGACATTTATGTGTTTGTTTTAAAGTTAGGGAAAAGCTTATGCAAAAAAAGAAGAATTTAGTGGAATTATATAGCCTGGAGTCCTTTTAATACTTAATGCGTATTTCATGCTAGGCTTGAAAATATCAACCACGACCTTTTCTCATCAGATTAATCAAACTTTGCCAGTTAAGTTATAAGAGATCAAGTTTTGCCAACCAGTCTACAAAAATTTCTCCACCAACTTGTGATAATGATGGTGATAACATTTCTCAAAAGTCAAAGTCTTATTGCTGGAAAAGATTACATGAGCACCTATAATCTAATTCTTTCCCTTAAGGTAGGGGTGGGGGAACCTTTTTTCTGCCAAGGGCCATTTGGATATTTATAATATCATTTGCAGGCCATTATCAATTTAAAAGTTAGCCTCCTATATTTGGTCAAACATTTAATTAACTCACCCCTAAAGCCTTGGTGGGACCAGACCAAACGATTTCCCTGCCCTTATGCAGCCCTCAAGCCAGGTGTTCCCCACCCCTGCCTTAAGCAGATAAATTACCCCCCAGTGCTATTTGCCAAATAACATAAATGACAAAAAAGACTAGGTTTTGACTCGTATCATATTGACTTTAGTGACTGAGAAATCTTTTCACCTTTTTTTACTGTTTTCATATATGCAAAATTGGAAGCAGAATCCTTACCTTATTGAGCTCACATGACTTTTTGAATCAAATATTTTGCAAAAGAAATTTGAACACAGTAAATACTGGGGGAAAAAAAAGAAGAAGAAGAAATGCCTCCCAATCTTAAAAAACATCCACTTTGAACTAATCTGTGGCTAATTTAAATCTTAGGCTTTCTCCACCACAAATCTTAGGCTTTCTCCGCCACCCACTAATTGTAAGGGGCCGCTTCCTTTGATGTTAGCAGGTGGTCAGCAAATGTGCACCATTGTTAAGGAATGAATCACAATTAGTTTTGCACTATCAGGAGCCTACCTCTAATGTGGAAAATTAAGATTTTTTTTTAAATTTTTTTTTTACATTTTTGTTGATTTCAGAGAGGAAGGGAGAGAGATAGAAACATCAATGATGAGAGAATCACTGATCGGCTGCCTCCTGCACACCCCCTACTGGGGATCGAGCCTGCAACCCAGGCATGTGCCCTTGGCCGGAATTGAACCTGGGACCCTTCAGTCCACAGCCGATGCTCTATCCACTGAGCCAAACTGGCTAAGGTGAAAATTAAGATTCTTGTATGAATATTTGATTCTTAGTTGTCAAAGCAAGGGAACATAAAGCCAAGTTTTAGCTTGGCATTTCCAGTATACAGAGTTCATACTGATGAGGGTTATTTTAATTAAAACCAATTTGTCTGAATGTCCCAATTCCATCTTACCACAGTATCCAGGTCTGCCTCTACTTTTCCCCCACCCCCAAAGCTCCATTTTCCTTGTCCCTCCTCAGGTAATTGGATTATGCTGATCTATAAAGGGGGTGATGAATATGACAATCACTGTGGCAAGGAGCAGCGTCGTGCAGTGGTGATGATCTCCTGCAATCGACACACCCTAGCGGTGAGGCGCCCTGGGGCATATGAGCCTAAAGAGAGAAAAGGACTGACCTGAGGTGGGAGAGACTTTCCAGAGGGTACAGGATACTTTGGGATGGATTAGGGAAAACTCGAGGTTCAGTTCTTCCCTGTATCTAGATACCCATCTTCAACATACATGGAAAATAGGCTATTGGACCAGGAAAACAAATGTTTTGGAGTTTAGTGGGGTTTTTTTCTTTATATAGATGGAGTCAAAACATTTTAAATGTGTTTTGTCCTTTCATCATCAGGACAATTTTATCCCTGTATCTGAGGAGCGAGGCAAAGTCCAAGATTGTTTCTACCTCTTTGAGATGGAGAGTAGCCTGGCCTGTTCCCCAGAGGTCTCCCACCTCAGTGTGGGTTCTATCTTACTTGTCACGTAAGTACTCTTTTTTTCCCTTATCAGTCCAAGCCTTTCCCTTTTTTCTTTTTTTTAAATCCTCACCTGAGTATATGTTTTTAATGATTTTTAGAGAGAGGGGAAGAAAAAGAGAAACATCGATCGATTGCCTCCCACACAAGCCCCATTCCCGGGGATCAAACCCACAACTTGGGTATGTGCCCTGACTGGGACGACACTCCAACTGAGCCGCACCAGCCAGGGCTCCCTTTTTTTTTAACTCATAATTTCTTGGATGCGTATGGGCATAAGGTGTGTGTGTGTGTGTGTGTGTGTGTGTGTGTGTGTGTGTGTCTCAGAGAGGGAGAGGGAGAGAGATAATTGGAGGATGAAGAACTTTGTGAGAAAATCCTCATTAACCTCTGACTATTCAAGTTTTTAAAAATGAGATTTGTTTTGTCCCCAATAAATATTCACATTTGAAGGTGCTTTTTTTTTTTCCTACTGGAGGGCTGGACAGTTTTTAATACTATCCATTAGAATAGCAGTTTTCAGCCAGTGTGCCATGTGATACACTTGTGTGCCACAAGAATTTTTAAAACATGCAATACCTGACTAATCAAGGGCACTGACCTCTTTTCCCTTAGATTATCAAATAAAAAAAAGACAACAGCCCAGCGGGGTGGCTCACTAGTGGAGCATTGACCTATGAACCAGGAGGTCATGATTCGACTCCCTGTCAGGGTATACTGGTATGCCTTTCAGGCTGGATCCCCAGTAGGAGGTATGCAGGAGGCAGCTGATCAGTGATTCTCTCTCATCGTAATGTTTCTATCTCCCCCACTCCCTTCTTCCCTGAAATCAATTTAAAAAAATATATTTTTTTTAAATGATGACAGCCACCCTATCTGATGTGGCTCCGTTGCTTGGAACATCGTCCTGTGCACCAAAAGGTCATTCCCAAACCCGGTCAGGGCACATGCCCAGGTTTCAGGTTCCATCCCTGAAGGGGTGCATAGAGGAGGCAACCATCAATGTTTCTCTCTTTTTCTTTCCCTCTCCCTTCCTCTTTCTCTAAAATCAGGTTTTTTTAGCTCTGGCCAGTGTGGCTCAGTTGGTTGGAGTATCATCCTATACACTGAAAGGTGGTGGGTTCAATTCCTGGTCAGGGCAAATACCTAGGTTGGAGGTTTGATCCCCGGTCAGGAGGCAACTGATTGATGTTTCTCTCTCCCTTTTCTTCCTCTCTCTAAATCAGTTTTTTCTTTAAATGTATCCTCAGTGAGGATTTTTAGAAAATTATTTTTAAGTTTTTTTAAAAATGAAACAGCAAACACAGCATTAGTCCTCTGGTGTGAATGAATCAAAATTATACCCCTTTTTTTTTTGTCAGATTTGCAAAAAATACATTTTCTGGTGTGCTGCAGAATTTTAGTAATAGCTATGTGTTCCATGAGATGGTTAAAAATTGCTGCATTAGATTATTAGAACTTTTAGACAGACAGAATCATGTATCCAAGAGTGACTGTTGGCAGAAGTCAGTCATTTTTTTTTGTGAGCAGTTTGCTTTTCTCAGACTGATAGTGCTCTAATTGGTTTTCTAGGGAAGCTACCTAGCCCCTTTTCATTTAATTTCACTACCTTTCCCCCCTTCTTTTTACAAAACACAGCCTACGAAACAGCTAACAATGAGAACAGAGATTATCCTTAGTACCTGAGTTTTACTATTTCTTGGTTTTTAAGTATAGCTCTTTCTTCAACAGGTTTGCATCACTGGTTGCTGTCTATATCATCGGGGGGTTCCTATACCAGCGATTGGTGGTGGGAGCCAAGGGAATGGAGCAGTTTCCCCACTTAGCCTTCTGGCAGGATGTTGGCAACCTGGTAGCAGTAAGTAACAGGGCAGCTGGCCGGGCCTGTAGCCTGCATACAAGGTTGAGTGACCAACCACCTGGTTTGCCCAGACTGAGGTTTCCTGAGACACAGGACTTGGATGCTAAAACCACAAAAGGGCCCAGCAAGTCAATTGGTTGCCCCTAGTACTAAGTAGTATAGCCTCTTACTGTCTGGCCTTGCGAAGACTTGGCTGGAAGAGCAACACTGTTGCTTAGATTTAAGAATCTGATATAGCTGTTCAGGGGCCTAGATAGGAAGGTGAGACCTAATTAGAATTTTTCTATTTCCTCCACATTCAATTTAGGCTGATCCTTGTTGCTTTGAGGGTTTCTCTTCATTATACCTGCCTAGATAGGAAGAAGGTGAGACCTAATTAGAATTTTTCTATTTCCTCCACATTCAATTTAGGCTGATCCTTGTTGCTTTGAGGGTTTCTCTTCATTATACCTGGAGAAAACTAGTGCTTGCCACATCCTTAGACCATAAATATACTTTGCCTTACCCTAAAGTTGGTTATTCCAAATGACCATTTTCTTCCTTTGTTTCTTTCCCTACAGGATGGTTGTGACTTTGTGTGCCGTTCTAAACCCCGAAATGTGCCTGCTACATATCGTGGTGTGGGGGATGATCAGCTGGGGGAGGATTCAGAAGAAAGGGATGATCATTTACTACCAATGTGAATGCACTTTATATGCCCAGCTTCTTCAGCCCCCCAAACCAAAGCATACTCAGCCAGATTTCTTAAGCAGTCTATTGCAGCCTCTCATCTCACCCTAAATGTTGCTCTTGCTTTCAGTTTGCTTTTGGTTTACATCCTTTTCTCACTATAGAAATGCCTTCCCTTTGTTCCCTATTTTTGTTTTTCCCTCTAGAGAGGTACTGTAATAAGGCCTGTGACAAAAGGCACTATGTCTTGGTATAGGAAGGTACATGTAGGACTAGTTATGAGCAAAAGCATGTGGCAGATTTGCTGGCCTTTTCAAACGCATTTTCACAAGTTTTTGAGACACTGGAATTCTTTAATTAAAAAAAGGGAAAGAAACATTATTTATACAAGGTTTGATTGCTTTCATGCTCAGTCTCCATGAGAATTTGCATGTAAGTTCTTGCTGCTTGGAACTACTTTGCAGTCAATACTTGGTTGTAGTCCAAGTAGTCATTTGGTCTGAACCTGGGGATGTGGTAGACCTGCTTCTCCCACCTGTGGGGTTAGGATGGGAAAAAGTGAAATTTCCCAGTTAGAGGAGTATAAGGTACCATCACATCATTCATTGGCATTTTAGTAACTTTGTAGCTGGAATTGGCCCTCGGTTGTGGTCTCGCAGTTACTCGTCCACATGTCGCCAAAATGCCTAACCCACAGGTCTGGTCGTTAAACAGGGAAACTAAAAGTGATCTCTCCCACTTGGAGTAAAAGTTGGCAAAGCCTTTCTTACCAGTGTTTCTAAACAGGTAGCACTTTCTTCACAGGCTTGTCATTTTGACTTTATTTTTTCAATCTTCTGGAAAGGGAATGGAGGTAGAAGCAGGACATCTAGGGCTCTGCATTCTCTGCTCTAGGCATGGGATTCTACTACGCCTGTCCCTGCTTCTGGCTCAGGGAAGTATCTTCTTGCCCACATTTCTGTGGGGAGTTTTTAATGCTCTCCACCTTTCTGTTTAGGCCATGTGCCCAGAAACCTGGCCTGATCTTTATTTAATAGTGAACCTGTGCCATTGAAGAGTAACTTGGCTCCATGGGGCACCAGAGGATGGAATCAACAGGCAGGGGCCTTTTATAGCCTTAGAGGAGAAAATGAAATTATTTCATCCTTGGACTTTTAAATACTGTTGGAATGACTTTTTTCTTTATAAACAGGGAAAATAATGTTACAAAAAACATCTTTTTGTTATTTGTTCGCACCCCTCCCCACACTCTAGTGTTTTAAAAATGAAAAAAAAAAAAAAACCCTAACATTTTTGTACAAAAACGAAAGATTAAAAAAAAAAAAAACATATTGGCCTAGTCATTTGTGTGAAAGAAGGTAGAAACTAAAGACACTGGATTAGAGTAAGAGACAACTGAGACCAATTTTTATCCTTTTACTGAAGAGGAAAAAAAATATTGAATATTTTTGTTGTATAAGGAATAGTGCCTAAGGCAGGCATTTATCCTCCTGACCTCAGCTCCACACACTCCTGTTTTATAAAGCTATAGGACACAGCAGAGTTGGAACTAAAAAGGTAGAAGACATCAGATAAATTGGAAGGGAGTAGGGGGGATACAGGAAGAATGACAACAGCCACACGTGTGCCAAACACTTAGTCCCTGCAGCAAATCAGAATGATGCCAGCCAAGTGCCTACACTAGCTGGTGAGCCTGCCATGGATGGAGGAGAAAATGTTCAATAGTAAGGGAGTGGATGATGACAAAACTGGGCCGTAGCTACAATCCGACAATCCAGAGGGAGTACTGGATTTTACCGCTTGTGTCAAGCTAGAAGAACCCTCCTCCTCCCATTGGGGAGGTGCACCTACCTTCCACCCATTTCCTTGCCTTGCCATACTATATCTTCTTGGAGAACTAAGACCCTGGCTACCCCACTCCAGAAAAAGGCTGAGCAGTACTAGTTCTCTATAGAGTTCATTTTTATAAAGATTGGATTAGGGCAGGTGAAAATGGTAAGAACTGTAAAGATTTTAGAAAATAAAGTAGAACCCAGAGAAAATGTCCAAGCTCCACCATGTAGCACCAGCAACCAATTCTTGCACATTCTTTCCCTGTCTTAGAAATCCCCTCCACAGATTTATTTAATTGGAAAAGTTATTTATTCCCTGTAAAGTCTGCGGGCACCAGGCAGGTTATAGCCTGGACAGTGGGGAGTGTCTGCCTTAGGCTGCTTTGTGCAAGAAGGCCACCTTAGGTCTCCTTGAGAACGTTGATCTTGGCGCAGATCTTAAGGGCTGGGCCCAGCTTGATGTTCATGGCACTCATAAGATGTTCCTCTTTAAGTAATAAAAGGGCCTGTCCATCAATCTCCTGGGAACGAAACTCCTCTGCAATCTCTTGACAGCCTAGAAGAAAATGGAAATATGTATGAGAAAGTATAAGGTAGCACCACATAGGAGGGGGAAACTCGATGAAAAACATGCAAACGTAGCAATGGTTAATCCCAAAGTACGTGTCCTAAATTCAGTAATATGAAGATTTGAGATGATAAGCTTTGGAAGAAAAGGAAATCGGCAACTGGCTATTTAAAAGAAAGCCAAGATCATGGAGGAACTAAGTTCCAACCAGAGAAATAACCTCATTCAAATAGCCTTAGGAGGGAGAAAGGGTGGGAACAAAAATGTTTTCTTTTACACTGGCAAGAAAAGTTCAAATGAGCCTTTGTGACACTTGTTTAAGAGCACAGAACTCAGACAAATAGCAAGAAGGGCAGGGTGATTTCTGAAGAAAACCATCTCTTTGTCAAGAATAGCTCATAAACATTCCTGCTTTGAAGAGAATGGGGCAATAATGGCCCCTTATTTTCTAATCCCCCTCTCCACTGAAAAAGTCTATCCATGGTAGGTGTCACAATCACATAAAAATGTACTTTATCCAAAAATTAATGGTAAGAAAGCTGAATCATAGGAGATGAAATACATTGAAATTGCTGACATAACAGGATGACAATCCAGATGGAATTAGTAGACGAGCCTGTGGGCAAGTAACTTGAATAAATATCAAAAAAAGTACAGCCTTCAAGCCTCTACTGCTTAAAAGTTGTGTTCCCTGTTCTCAAGGCCTGTGTAAAGAGCTCAGGAAAACTAAGTATGTATGTGACCTGAGTTCTTTTGGATAGGCCCTCAGTACCTTGTAGAGAAGCGATAAACTCATACACCTCCTCCACACTCCAACGGCTGGGATTGCTGGACAGGAACACAGGGTTGATGCCGTGTAATTCTGGGGTAGGTGGAGCTGTATTGGGGTTCCCCAGGTCTCGATCTCCATGCCCCACTCTCACTGATAAAGGCCCAGGAGATGTTGGAGAGAGTGCTTCATCATAACTGGAATTATCTGAACCCCGGCTAGAGTCCTCTTGACCCTATAAAGAAAACCCAAAAACAGTGAGGTCATGAATAAGTTTCCTCTGCCCTCCCCAACCCCCCTGGGTTTGGGTTCATATCAGGCATGGAGGAAAACTGAATCTTACCACAAGTGAGGTAATTTGTACTTCATTTGTAAATGTCCAGTCACCTGTCTACTTTCAAGTGCCTTTCAAGTATAAACTATCAACTCTTGATTCTCCCCTTCTACCAATGATCTAGATTTTCCCTACTCAAACGTAATGTAAGGATTAATGGATGTATAAACCAGTAATCAGAGGAGGAAGAAAAAGTCAGGATCTTGGAATCTGGAGTAAGGCAATCAATGCAAAACCAGAGTTCTGATCTCACACTGTTTAGGCCCATTTTAAAGGTGGCACTGGGACAGCAGCTCACCCGGTGTCGCTTGCCCTGGATCTTGGCACGGGCGATGTCAGAGGAGCTGCGGCGGGGTCCACGCCGACGAACACGAGCATAATTGGCTTCTTGAAACTCTTTCATTTTTTTCCTCTTCAGCCGAAACTGGTGGCTACAGCTCACATTATACCTACAGATCAGGCACATGTAGGAGATCAAAGGTGCTACAGAAAACTACCTTGTTACCCTAAGCTTGTGAACTGGTATTTTAAGAGCTGATTTGGGGAAGACTATGAAAGCAAAGGAGACACTCAAGTATCAGCTGTGAGATTGATGATCCTAGGGAAGGGCTGTAATATTAGATGAAAAAACCACTGCTGAAGATGAGGAGGGGATGCCTCCAGTACCTCTTGGCACAAGTCATGGAGCAGAATCTCTTGGAGCCTCGAAACTGGTCTGCAGGGGCGTACTTCCCACAGTATTCGCACTTCAGGAGATTCGCCTTCTTATCTAGCTCTGAAAAATAAGGCATCACTCGAAAGCTGCATGGGTTTCTGCTGCTGCTCAAACCATCAGTAGGCTCAGAACTGGACTCTAATTACTCTCAGAATTTGCCCCCAAAGACCTACACCACCCTAAAACATAAAGTTCGAATTCCAGAATCATAAAGGCATGTTCATTTTAGTCTTCCTATCCTTAAGCTAGACTATTTCTATTTTGATTACAAATTTTATCCCAATTCACACTCAGATTTCAGCCAAGACTGCATTTCTGAACAGGAGAGAGGAACTAATTACTAATGCCTAGAAAGATATCCCTCCCCCACAAAGTTCCCAAAAGCAGAAAGGAAATGTAAATAAGAGTCTTTAATATAGATTATAAAACCTAAAGAGAACTGGAGATTTAGAAATATCCTATTTTATTTAGATTATCTTTTGAAAAAATATACCCTTATAGTAAACTAGAGGCCCGGTGCACAAAATTCGTGCACTCAGAGTATGGGGGGGTCCCTCAGCCCGGCCTGCGCCCTCTCGCAGTCCGGGAGCCCTCAGGGAATGTCCGACTGCCATGGAGGTGGGAAAGGTCCCACCACCACCGCTGCGCTCACCAGCTATGAGCCCGGCTTCTGGCTGAGCGGTGCTCCCTCTGTGGAGTGCACTGACCACCAGGGGGCAGCTCTTGCATTGAGCATGTGCCCCCTGGTGGTCAGTGCACATCATAGCGACCGGTCATTCCACCGTTTGGTCAATTTGCATATTAGCCTTTTATTATATAAGATAATTTAACAGCTTACTTTAGCCTGATAAAAATCTCCCTAATCCTGTGGAATTCCTTTTGTGTGATTCTACATATTCTAGTATGTGATATAGTATCTGTGTCTGGATGGACATTATATAAGTCCCACTTTAAATTGATGATTACTACTTTATACTGAGTCTTCAAACACATCTGCATGAGCCTCCTTCCCCAGACGGGTCTCTAAGTAAATACTTACCAGCAGATGGGCTGTCCCCTCCCAAGGGGCCACATGACTGGTTCTCATTCAGCCCTGTCAGGAGGCCAGTCTGTAGAGGCTTCTCAGACTCTTTCAGTAACTGAGAACAACCCACCTGTCCCAGAAGAAGGTCACAGTTAAGTTAGCCTAATTCCTTTCTGCTTCTCCATAGCTTTCCCAGCGTTTCTCACCATTAAGTCTTTGCCTGGATTTCTAAGCTAATGGTCAAGTCTGGTTCAGAGAGAATCATTTTCAATATGGGAATCAAGAGGCTCTAACAGGCTTTCTTCAGACAAACACTGGAGAACAGAGTCTTACCCTGGCTTCCTGTTTTGTCCTTTTCCTTCCTAAGTTGAGGGAATGCACTAGGAGTCAGGATACCTATGTTCTAGTTTTGCAACTCGTGGTACTTAGAATAGTCCATTAACTTTCTACCACAATTTTCTTCATTATAAACCAAACCTAGTTTGTCTAACAAAATATTACAGCTTTCAAGGTCACCTCCTCCCTTTTCTTCTCTTCTTCCCAAAACTTTCATTTTCTGGTCCACATATTATTCTTTTCCCCTTCCTTTTACAACTCACCAAATGAACAGCAGAACTGAACCATTCTCTAGTAACTAACTAGTTCTGAGCCTTCTGATTTAGTGGCATTTGAAAAGACAACAGTCAGTCCAAGTCCCCACTTGAAAGCCCCATCTTCCAGCCCTGCCCTCACCGGGAAAGGTTCTGCTCCTTCCTGGATAACGAAGCCTTCAATGATGTGGGTGAGAATCTGGGGCTTCACAATGGCCTGTGGGGGTTTTGAGTCGCCCATCTGTCTGGACACCATGGCTAGTGTAGGAGGTGGTGCTGATGGGGCAGGAGCCAAGGATATTAGTTCACTGTTTGGGGTATTAGCATTCACATTGGTCACTGATTCAACTTTCTCTGGAAAATAAACACAAATTAAGGAATAGATATGGGATAATGTAACTGACCCATCTATTAGCCAAGCCAGCCTAATCTTCCACAATAATACATGGTCACCTTTTTTTTTTCAGAGAGAGGAAGGGAGGAGAGAGGGGTAGAAACATCAATGATGAAAATCATCGATCAGCTGCCTTTTGCATGCCCCATACTGGGGATCGAGCGGCAACATTGGCATGTGCCCTGACCAGGATTCAAACCCTGACTCCTGGTTCATGGGTCCATGCTCAACCACTGAGCCACACCAGCCGGGCTGCATGTTCACCTTTGCTCATTCACCCTGGATTCTGTTTTTTTCAATCTATTCATCTGTCCACCAAGTGCAGACCCATACTCTACAGAACCAGACTTATCTGTTAGCTCACTCACTCAGAACGTTAATCTCTGTGTACTCCAACAGCACTGCAGAAGTCAGTCTCTCACCTCCAAAACTGCTCTTCTCCTCCATGGCCTTTGGGCTCTCTGCTACCGGAGATGCCTTGGCAGGAAGCATTGAACCCAATGTGGAGACATCATCTCTTTCCTCCTCAGACTCAGCCTTGCGTTTCACACCCAATGTCTGGGGCTTGCCCTATAAAGAAAAGAACAGAAAAGAAATCAAGAGTTATAAGTAAAGGAAGATAAGGAACCATAAATACTCCATATTTTCAGATAAAGTTTCCTTAGTTCCAGATTCCCCAATTTGTATATTTCTCACGGTACATTAAAATTCCTGGTCATTCCCAAGAAGTGTAACTTCCACCTCAGGACAAAAGAAAATGCAACGTTCATTAGTCCTGACATAGACCTTGAGACCCTGGATTCATTATGGCCCAACTAAGAACTGTTGTTTTCTAAAGATTATTTAGGTGGTTACAGCTATCTTGATCGAACCCAGTACAGATCCAAAAACCCAGAATGACTTCAGTAGCAGATTTAGGAGTATGAAGTTCGGATATTATATACATTAACATCGCTCTCTCTTACAAAAAGAATACCAGTATCTTAAGTTTCCATTAATCTCTCTCACAAAGGAACAAATAAATACCTTCTAAACTCTTCATTCCCCTACTAGGTTAAGCTCTAATTCTACTCAGCCACAGGTCCACTCTTAAGAGTGACAGTGCCCCCGCTGGCTGGGTTGCTCAGTAGGTTAGAGTGTCAACCTGACACACCAAGGTTGTGGGTTCAATCCCCGGTCAGGGCACATAGAAGAATCAACCAATGAATGCATAAATAAGTGTAGCAACATATCCCTCTCTATCTCTCTGAAGTCAATCAATCAGTTTTTTTTTAATTAAAAAAAGAGAGTGACAGCACTCTCAAAACCATCAGACGTCACTCACCGGCAGGTGCACAGACTGCATGTAGAAGGCAGCAGGGACCTGGGCTACAACAGGTGAGGAGGCGGTAGCCCCACCCTTTACTACATGTGCTGTCCCCTGCACAGGAGCAAGGGTCATCCCAGAGGTCAATGTGGAAGGGCACTCCTGCAGTGCACCAGGAGCCTGGGATGATGGTGGCGAAGAGGCCAAATGGGCCTGACCAGGCTGCATTGTACCTGGCATCCCCCGGGAAGCCGGCACAGCAGCTGCCAGCTGTGCCAACCCCAAAGCCTGTGCCTGGGCTGTACCTGGCTGTCGGGTGCCCACAACTTGCACAGGGATATGGGGTGGTGGTTGCTGGGAAGCTGACATCTTAGCAGGTCCTAACTGAGGAGGCTTGATCGGTGCTATAGGTGGTTTGGATTGGAGAGGGATGGGTGGCTTGGGAGTTGGGTCAGGTGGGAGGGACAAGGGTGAAGACTGAAGCATGGGTTGAACAACCAGGGTTTGGGCTTGCTGCTGGGACTGGGAAGGTGGGACCTGCTGAGTAGGTGGGACCTGTGGTGGCTGAGGGGCAGAGAGAGTTGTGGCTTGCTGCTGCTGCTGCTGCTGCTGTTGCTGCTGCTGCTGCTGGGCCAACTGGAGGTGTGTGGCTGTGTGGAGTAGCTGCGATTGACGGTGCTGGAACTGTTGCTGGTGGTGGATGGCAATCTGCTGTTGGATCACCACTTGTTTCTGCTGGAGGTGGATCTGTTGCTGTTGCTGAATCAGGGAATGGGGCTGGATCTGTGTGTAGGTGGCTATAGGAACCACGCCCAGAATGGAACAAAAAGAAAAGTAGAAAATAATCATCATTATGGGAAGTAAATATCGCCTTTCCAAACTGTACCCAGTTTTGGAATCACACAATGGATGGAAATCTAACCTAGAAGGTCCTAAGAGATCACCTCATTCATTCTCTTTCCTGAGTCAGACATTATCAGATATTACTGTCTCTAATCTTAAAGATCTCAAGAGAAGAACTCCCTTGTTCAATCATTTAATGACCTCCAGTAATTTCTTACATGTGTCTAACTTTTATTTTCTTTGCTATACTTAAATCCTGTTACTTTGAACTCAGTCAAGTAAGTTGGCCCATCTTCTATGTGATTGGACTCTGAGTTCCTCAAGGCTGAGTCCATGTTTTATTCATTTTTACATCCCTCTAATCCAGCACATTAGAAACACTTAACAGTCACTGAAAGAATAAATGTCCATGGAGGTAAATATACCAACACCTTCCCATGAATGTTAATTTTTAAGACTCATCAATTTAGGTCCCCACCATGAGAAGTCTCAGAGTCAGCAGCCGAAGGTTCTGACTTTACCCAGTTTCCACCACTATAAATGAGTTGACAACCTCACTCCCCCCCTCATACGCCTACCAGATTGTCCAGAAAACATATTTGTTATGAAAGCACTCTGGAAACAGACCTGCTATAGTATGTAAATACTAAGTTATTAGCACTACAACTGATAATTAACTTTTGTAAATAAATTATCCATATGTAGCAACAACTAAAGTGCTAGAAACAAGGAAGGTAAAATGAAGGTAAAACTAAACATTACCAAGTAAAAAGAAAAACATTACCAAGTAAGGTATACATACCTAACTATATCTAACCAAAGTCTGAAAGCAAGTATAAACTATTTGGGTTGTTATATTATTTATTCTTCTTCACCCTTATCATTGACACAGATGATCACAAGATGACTGTGTGTGTGTGTGTGTGTGTGTGTATTTTTTTTTTACTTTAGAGAGAAAAGGAGAGAGATCGAAACATCAATGATGAGAGAGAACCATGGATCAGCTACCTCCTGCATGCCCCACACTGGGGATCCAGCCCACCACCTGAGCATGTGCCTTGACTTGGAATGGAACTGTGATCTCCTGGTTCATAGGTCAATGCTCAAACACTGAGCCACAACAGCCAGGCACAAGTTGACTAAATTAAACCAGGGCTCTATTTGCTAGTCCTAAGTGCCCTAGGACACTTATGTCACCTCTGCTCTACATTGGGCCACCTAACCACCATCAAACACTGATGAGGAGAGTATTCATCCTTTATGCTAGATTCTAAGCTCCATGAAGACAGGGGATCTATTTTTCAAAGATGTAACTCTAGCCCTCCTAGAACATAGTACGCAATTGAATAAGAACTGGGTAAATGAATAGGTAGAGTAAGTAAACTAAAGAACTCAGGGTCTAAGGCAACTTGTAAAATGATTGCTGCCTGGTGGAAACAGAAAAGATCTGTTACCTGTCCTCCTGCCTCCCTGAACTAATATGATCAAGGGTGATGTGACAAGAAGCAAGAAAAAGGCAAAGAAAGAAATGTATTCTGAGCTTTCAAGCGGTTCTGAGAATAATGACATGAGAAGTGACCGTTTACCTGAGCTAATAAGGGTCTGGCTGGGAGCAGGTGTAGCTGTCCGTGTCAGGTTCATGCCCACGTTCTGCTGACCAGTCCCATCCGCTTCTGCCTTCTTAGCTGCCGCACTTTCTGCCTCTGTCTGGCTGCCCTGACTCACAGTCACTGTTTGGGCTGCAGGCAAGGGCTGCACCACTCCTGTGCCCTTCCTGGGACAGCTCCCACCACCCCCCATTCCTGAGGTAGGCAACTGACCCAAGCCTCCAGGTGCCTGGCCACTTCCACCTGGACCCATGGACCCTGGGATGCTATTTCCACTGCCTCCACCAGCTTGACTAAGGTTGAGGGACTGGCCTGAGGCCCCAGGGGAAGCCTGAGCCACAGCTAGGGCCTGGCTGGAACCCTGGGAGAGGCTAGAGACAGGGGATGCTCCAGGAGGAATGGCCTTCTGAGTAGAGCCTTGCATTTGAGGGCCTTGGGCTGAGGCCTGTTGGTTCCTCACTGCCAAGTTCTGCACCTGAAAGATAAGAAGAACAAGACTGAGAAAAGGTGAACAAGAGGCACTAGGGTCAAAGATTTCAGTGACAGATTCAGAAGCAGCAAGGATCGCTGCAGATACTCCACAGCCCACCTCAACTTGTATGCTCAATTTCCCAATTATATACATTAAAGGCCTTCCAGTCACCCAGGGAAAAACTCTTATATCAAATTTTATTTTCAGTCTCCTTTATTCAGTATTAAATGTATCACCAAGTACAGTCATTTATTCCTTCAAAGTGTCTCAGATTTTCCCTTTTCTTTCCATTCATTCATTCATTCATTCATTTAATATCTACGAAATACCTACTATGCTTCAGGTATTACACTGGGTGCTGGGAATGCAGAGATGAAAGACACAATCCCTGCTATTAATGAGTACTTTCTACTAGAAAAGACAAGAAAATCACCAATAACAATATGACACTATGCACAGGTATGCACACAGTGCTGTGGGAGCCCAGAATGGGAAGATTAACTCAGAATACAAAGATTACGGAGGGCTTCCTAACACAGGTGATGCTTGACCTGAGGCGCAATCGGTAATAGTGAAGGTGAGGGTTTGAAGATATAGGTAACATTTGCAAGACCACTGAGCCAAGAAAAAGAATAGCATTTTTGGAAATTATGAATATTTCCTTTATGTTTGGAGTGAGTTAGAGGGAGTGGCAAGAAATGAAACCAGGAAGGTAGGCTGAGGGTAGTGGGGTAGAAAGGTGCCGGATCATGAAGGGCTTGGTGTGTTAAAATAAGGAGAGTCTGAACTTCAGTTTGGAAACAGAACGTGTATCTATCGTCTTCATTGTTGTATTCCCAGCACCTAGCACAGTTCCTGACACATAGTAAGTACTCCAAAATATGAATAGAGAGAAGGAATGATGAGTACCTAATTGATGACAGGAAGCTATTGGAGAATATTAACCAGAATAAACATGATCAAATCTACAGTTGAAACCATTCTTTTAAACATTGCTGATGGAAATGGAAATGAAATCAGTACAACAACTTTGGAAAACAGTTTGGCATCATATCCTAAAATGAACATTCACACATCCTACACCCCAGGAATTCCTAAAGAGAAACCCTTGCTGTGTACAACTGGAGGCATGTATAAAAACGTTCACAACAGCACCATTCATAGTAACAAGTGCCTAGAACAACCCAAATGGCCATTATCAGAAGAGAAAATAAATGAACTATAATATATTCACACAATGGACTATTATATAGAAATCAAAATTAATAAAGTACAATGACATACAACAATATGGATGGATCATGACAATAAGCTATTAAGAAAGCATTCTCAAAGACTGCATACAGCATTTTATGGATTGAGAAGAGCACAAATACCTTTAAAATAAAATATGTATTTTTTATATATTCTATTTTTTATTTTTATATACAGGGGTGGGCAAAAGTAGGTTTACAGTTATGAGTATAAAAAAGTTTATTCTTGTATTATTTATTTGTTATATTATTTATTGTTATTACTGACCTACTTTTGCCCACCCCGAGTGTGTGTGTGTGTGTGTGTGTGTGTGTGTGTGTGTGTGAGAAAGGCCTAAAAATATTGGCCATGTATTCATCAATGTTGAAGCTAGATGGTAAGTACGTAGAGATTCCTATTTTTTATATGTTTAAAATTTTCCATTATAAAAATGTCTTTATTATATGTAAATACAATAAAACCATATAAAAAGAGACACAACGGAAGGATGAATTTACTAGTAGGAATCAGAATGTCCTCACCCTGGGTAGAGGCAGGCAGTAGATGAAATTGGGATTGCTTATTGTATTTTAAAACTTACTGAGTAAATATATAAAAGTGCACCATGAATGGACCATTAATGAGAGAATGTCATGAGCCAAGGATTATGATTGATCAAATTCTGCATATCAGAGGTACAATTTAAAATGCTAGTAACAACATATATTTTCTAAGAAAACTTGTTCTGACAGTAATGTGGAAGAGGATTAGAAGTAGAGAAAGGCTGAAGTCAAGAAGCCAATTAGAAAACTAGTACAGTAATTCAGGTGAAAAATGAAAAGAACCTGGATTCAGGCAATAGGAGCAAAGAAGAAGAGATGATAGCTTTAGAGAATGGTTTACAAGAATCATCAGGATTGGGTGCTGGGGCACTTATTATCTGGCAGTTTTTTTCTAGTCAGCTTCCTTTCCATAATGGCTACTTAAAACATTGCTACTTTACCTATACATGAGAACCACTTCCTCTTTCCCCTCTCACCCACCCCTGTGGAAACAATAAAACCATTATATGAGCATGATGCTTCATCAGTTCCACCACCAAATCTATACGTTCAGCTGCATAAGCACCCATCACTTACTTTTCCCTTCTCTCCTTCTATCCTTCCTACTTTTCAAGAAGCTTATATAATCAATTCTCTCCTGTCTCTTCAATTTCTCCTCTATTGGCTCCCTTCCACCAGCATCCTGGAACCTCACTTCCCCGCCCCCAGTTTCATCCTCTTTCCTGTTACTGCTAAACTCTTTTTTTTCTTTAAAGATATTTTTTATTGATTTCAGAAAGGAAGGGAGAGGGAGAGAGAGAGAGAAATACCAATGATGAGAATCATCAATCGGCTGCCTCCTGCACGCCCCACACTGGGGATTGAGCCCACAACCCAGGCATGTGCCCTGATCAGGAATTGAACCGTGACCTCCTGGTTTATAGGTCGATGCTCAACCACTGAGCCACACCAGCCGGGCTACTGCTAAACTCTTAACTGTTTACATTCACTGAACTATTCCCACTATCCAGTCATTTGCCTCACGCCATGACTCCAATGAAATAGCTCTCATCCATGTCGGTGACTCCATCTTTCTTGCCATCTCTACTGCACTTGATGAAGGACTCTTGCCACTCTTGTTCCATTTTGATCCTTTGTCTTCATGACACACAATCCAGATTTTCTTGTCTTTCTGTCAGTCACTCTTCCCTACTCCCCTTTGCCAGCCATCACCCTTTACTCAACCTCGAACTGCTCTCTTTTCTAAGGGCTCATCCTAACCCTCAGGGCTCCACCTGAAAGGCTTTTCTCTTCTCAATCCATACCATATCCTTAAGAAATTTCAAACACTCCCTTGATTTCAATTATCATCTATATGCTTACTACTCTTGAATGTTTACCTCCAACTCAGAGCTCAGGCACCACATAAAAAACTGCTGATCCAGTATCTTCTTCTGTGTAGCAAGCACTTCTAAGCCAGCATATCCAAAAGTGAACTTCACCCCAAATCCACTTCTCCAACATTCATCTCATAAATATCACTACCAGCCATCTCTCTGCAGTGCCATAGCTCATCTCAGGCATCTCCATCAACTCTCTACCACTGAATGAGTTCTCCTTTTTTAATAACCTCTTAAGTTTTTCGCAAATCTATTCATTTTTGTCCATCTCAACAACTACCACCTATGATGGGTGTTGCTCTCCCCATATTCACTTACGCCATTTCCACTTATCTTCCATAGAGGAGCCAACAGTCTTGAAAATTTAAAAAATCAAAAATCGAATCTCTCATGTCACTTCCATGTTTAAAATCCTTCCAAAGCTTCCCACTGCCTTTCAGATAAAGCTCCAAATTCTAAACACAGGCCCAAGGTCCTGCAAGATGAGATTTCTCTGACCATCTCCAGCATCATCTCCATTCCTCTTTGCCAAACGCCAGGAACACAGGTCTTCTTTCAATTCCTCAAATATATAATACTCCTGCCCTCCTAGGATCTCTGGACATGAGGTTCCTCTGCCTTCACCATTCCTTCAATGTCTTCACCTGACCAACTTCTACAGACCCAATTTAACTGTCACCTTCTCAGGGAGGCCTTCCCAAGGCTACATTAACTCCCTTTCAGAGCACTCAGTACTTCCTAATGAAGCAATTATCAAACCATCCAGGTGATTATTTATTCAATGTCTGGTGCTTCAGTGATTTGTAATCTCTATCAGTCTAGGGATTATGACTTTCTTGGGCCTTCATGGCTAAAGAATGTCTGATATATAATAATGATAGTTTGCACTAACACTCATTATGTCCAGACACTGTTCAAACACTTATACATATCAACTCATTTAGTCCCCACAATACACCCTGAGGTAGATACTTTATAATTTCATAGATGTTTTATATATGAAGAAACTGGCCAAAAGATGTTAGGTCATTTGCCTACGGTTACATAATAAATCATGAAGCTGGAATCTGAGCCAAACATCAGATTCACATTTTTAACCACTACTCTGTCCCTCCACATGTTGACACTCAACAAGCAGATGGATAAATGAAACCACTGGATAGGAAGCAGCCTCAACCTCATCCTCTGATCCTACTGCTATTACCAGAGTCTAAAACAAAGGTCTTACCTTCTTACTAAATGACCCCAAGCATTTCTTTTTCTTTTTTCAAAATATATTTTTATTGATTTCAGAGAGGAAGGGAGAGGGAGAGAGATAGAACATCAATGATGAGAGAATCATCAATCGGCTGCCTCCTGCACACTCCCTACTGGAGATCAAGCCCGAAACCAGGGCATGGGCCCTTGACCGGAATGGAACCTGGGACCCTTCAGTCCGAAGACCGACGCTCTATCCACTGAGCCAAACCAGCTAGGGCGACCCCAATCATTTCTTAGTAGGTTCCCTAATTTCTCTTTCTTCTCCAGGCACATGTTTCTAGGTGATTCTTTCGAAAGTACTTGCCTTATCCTATTAATCAGCTATTCAACAACCAGCAATGACCCCTCTTACCTATGGAGTTACTTGGCTTTCAGACTTCTCCCTAACAATGACCTTTTCTACAATCAAGCATGTTGTCTCCTCTTAATCCACTCACCCCAACTCATAGTCACATATGTGAAATTATACCTTTACACATTACTATTCTGTCTCCAGTTTTCTTTTTACTCCAAATCAAATCATACCCATCCTCTAAAAATTTGCTCAAGTAAACCAAGAGTCACTGAGAAGTAATGCAGCCACTCTTCTCTACTGGTGTCACTCAAAGTTAGAGCAATTTACCTTTGTACTTCTTGGTTCTCCAAGCTCTTTATAAAGACTTGACACATATTTATTTTCAGCCCTCCTAAGTTTCTAGTATACATCTGAGCACAACAATAGAAAACTAAATATTTACTTGCTAACTGATAAACTAAAATAAAAATAAATATTATGAGAGCCCAGTGTATATCCCATTCATAAGATAAAAATTCGGCTCAAAATATGTATACAACACTAACACTTTATATATATATATTTGGGGGGCAGGGAGATAAGGTATAGTGAGAAGCAATGGTGAGAAAGATTTCACTGGGACTACACTGTGAGCAGAAGCAGAGAGACCTACAGGAACTCATAAAGAGAAGGAATCAAATATTCTGCCAGCAACTCAGCCATGTCAGCTTAACATCTATGGAACAGAATTCCCTCAACCATCCCTCATCTTCCAGAGACAGTACTGCAAGAAGAGAGAATTAAAGACTTCCTGAATAAACTGAGCCATCGAGGGCTAAAAAAAAAAAAATATTAAGGAAATCTACCCTATGTTAAAAATAAGACTTCCCAGATCCAGAGGACTATTTTCAGTCAAATCTATTTTCCTTCCTAATTCAAATAACTCAAAAGTTGTAAGGGATTCAAGTTCTATAGAAATTAAAGGCAAAAAAAAAAAAAAAAAAAGAATCCTGAAAAGTGGTAACGAGGCAGAAGGGTGGGCCTTAGTCTGTGGTCGTTCCCTTCATCCTCCCCAGTGCCCGTCCACAGGTCAATGCTGCCACTGACCTGATCTGCATCTGCATGAACTCCCGGAGACTGAGCAGATGGCACCTCCTGCTGGACTGCAGCCACTGCCCCGTTAGGCATCAGGATGAGCTGGGAGGCTAGAGGCACATTCCGGCCCAGGGTCCGGTTTACCTGCAATAGGTTTCCCAGCTGTGGCTGGCAAGGAGAGGAGGAAGAGCAGAGGAAAGAGAACAAGAGGAAAAGAAGAAAGACAGAAGAAACGGAAGGGAAGGACCACAAGACAAAATAAACAGAAGATACGAAACAGTGAAGTCCTGCCCCTTTCCACACCAACCCAGGAGACCCTTATTCTCCACACGTGATGAATCATCCAGAAGAAAACCTGGAATGTGTACAAAACTACAGGTTGATAACAAAGAGTCAAACATGAAAGAAGTTGAGACCATGAGAATTTCAGAACAAGTCTTTATGTACAGTAAGTAGATAGGCTAAGAGAACACTTAGGATTTGTGTACTTGAGCCACAGGTCTAAAGATCAGAGTATCTGATGCTAATGTGGTCAAATGTTAAGGTGAGTGAGCATCTTCTAACTTGGGATCTCAATGTCATCTGCAGGCTACCTGTGAATACTGAGCATTACTTCTAGAGGTAAGTAAGGAAGAAGTAGATCAGCTTGTCTTAAAACAGCTGGGTAACTATGGTTAAATAAAATAACTTTTGCTCAAGTCCTCGCCAGGGACAGAACCATTATGTCCCTGGGACACTGGCAGTTGTGTCTGTGGCTTACCCGTAGATACATCTGAGCCTGGGACTGGTTGAGGGGTGGGGAGGTGGTGTTCCCCAGTAGCACAGATTGGGTCAAAGTGGTAGCACTGGGAGAGCTCACACTCTGGGACCGGCTGATGAGCTGGGCGGCCGACGTGGTGGCCAGATTGATCTGTGCGGTACAGAAAGGAACCAGGACTGAGGATTTAGGAGACATAAAAGGAAATGTAAATGACTGATAAATTCAGAGTGACCCGGTCAAGAACAGAATATCTCACTTTCATAGAGTCCGGGGAAATGAATACCTTCCTATCCACATCTGTGATCCTGGCTACTCCAGGGTATTACCAAAGTAAACAAACTGGGCCTAATCACTAGGGTTACAGTTGAGAAGGCAAAGGAACGAAACGGAACAAATTTTACTTGTCGTTGAAGGGTCCAGAGATTAGTCCCTTCCCTTTACTATGTCTGCTTCTTCCCCAGGATTTTCTTTCTCCTTTCTTAGACCTCCTCATTAAGACTCATACAGATCCAGGTTGGTCACTTTGCCTTTTACAAACATTCTCTACATAAGGGCAGTAAATACCACCGATGGCTCAATAAACACTCCCAGATCAGCTGTACAAAGTTTAACCCAGAGACAAAGACCCAAAGAGAGAAGCCGCTCAGTGGGGAGAAGCAGCACTCACTGAGGCCTGGGTGGTGGCAGTCTGCTGCTGCGCGGTGCTGGTGTTTGGGGAGCTGGCTTGCCGACTGGCAGCAATGGTGGCCTGTTAGAGATGAAAGAAAATAAGAAAGAGCAGAGAAAACAAAGAAAACGGCTGTGAATCTTCCAGTAATAAATCAGAGGCACAAAACATAACAGACATTTCCAATAAGAACTGAGAGACTCTGTTGTGGAGCAAGGACAAGTATATTCACTATGCCAATAACCCTCCCGTTACCACATGTGGTAACCCAACAACTCCCACATAACCCTCCTGGGACAGCCAGGCAACCTGTCCTCCTCCCACTTTTAGGTGGAAGAACCTTTGGTCAGGTCCCATCGTGAGTCACTGGTAAGCCTAACCCAGAGTTGTCCAATACAAATATAACCCAAGCCACATATGTAATTTTCTTTTATGCACATTTTTTAAAAGAAAAAAGAAACAGGCAAGTACACTTTAATTTTTTATTGAATTTATTGGGGTGGCATTGGTTAATAAAATTATATAGGTTTCAGGTGTACAATTCTATAATATATCATCTTATATTGTGTGCTCACCAACCCAAGTCAAGTCGCCTTCCATCACCATTTATCCTCCTATACCCTCTTCCACTTTATCTTATGTAAGCCAAATATATCTCATTTCAACATGTAACCAATGTAAACTACTAAGATATTTTACTTTTTTTTTTCCTTACTAAGTCTTTGAAATCCAAATTCTCAGTGCACAGCCCCGATTTGAACTGGCCACATCTTGAGCACTCAAAAGCTACACATGGCTGGTGACTACCACACTGCACAGCGCAGGTCTAGACATAGCCATCCTACTCCTAAAAGGGAGTTTCTCCACAGTTCCTACAACAGCCCCTGAAGCTAAGATCCATTCATCCTCCTACAGGAGGAACGTAGGAGGAGGAGACTATGTTTCCAGCTTGGCTTAGTGGAGGATGCAGTATGTCCCTACCCACCTGTAGCACCATTCCCTTCCCTCTTGGGCCAGCTGGCTGCTGACCTCTCACCTGCTGGACGGCAGCCAGGCTATGCAGCTGGGCATTGCTGAGCTGCTGCTGGAGCATGAACTGGTGGAAATACTGAGCCGCATTGGGCTGACGCTGCAGTGCCTGCAGAGCCTAGGAGGAGAAAGAGAAGATCAGCCCACTTAGACTCACTCCCAACTCCTATTCTACACAAATCGCTGTGATCCTGTGAAAGGGGCTCATGGCAAGTAGAGAAACAAAGGAAGATGGGAGTCTGGCTAAATCATCAACTTCTGATTTGTCCAATTTGTTTATATGAGAACCAGTAAGTTCATATAATCCTCAAAAAGTGGAGAAGCAATTAATTCTGCTATGCTCTATTCAATTCTTGTATATAAAGAAAAGTAAAGCAGTATAACTCACATGAACGCTTATTTCCCAAAATGGAATCTGGAAATACATAATACAGCAAGAAAAAGAATTGGGACTAGACAGGATAAAAATCAATGAGATGTCAATTAATGTAAAGAGAAGAAAATAAAAGACCATATTCTAGGGGTACAATAGAGGTAACAGAGCCCTAAGGGGTTGAAAATGATGAAAAAATAAGAGTAAGTAGTAGCTTATGAAAGATTCTATCAGGTAAAATTTTCAAACAACTGGCATTTTCAAATAGCTACAGTATAATGCTAATGGGTGTTTATAAACATGATACTGGTAATTCAGTTTTAGTGTTAACTAATATTCTCTAATAATGAGAGCTATTCTTATGATGTGCATAGTTATTCTAGTAACCTAAATATTTAAGTAAAAGGCCCATTCCCAGATTTTTAAAAACATGGAATTTACTATTTGTCTAAAAATAAAGCTTTAGTCTAAAGAGTTTTATACTCCATTGCTCAGAATGATTTATACAAACGACTGAAGATTAAAAACCTGGCAATCCATGAAGAGAAATGGTTAGAATCTAGCTCTATGAACTGAATGGTATAAAAAACAAAACAAAACAAAATAACACCTTAGTTTAAAGACTGAATCTCATTCTCTGTTTGCTGGCTCAGATTGTTATAAATTCCTAAGATTCTCGGGGCTAGCAGGGACCTTAGTCATCACCTAATCCAACTCCCCCAGTGTTCTGGAAAGCAACTAAGGGCAATTATCTTCCAGCACCCTTGCCTACCCCAAGCCAATGCTCACAGATCTCAGCCCCTCAGAGTTGAGCCTCACCTGCACTGCTTGCCGTTCATACAGTGACATTTGAGCTATTTGGGGCCGAGAGCTGCCCCCAGAGCTGGAACTCCCATTGGTGGAGTTGGAGTTCTGCTCACTCTCAGTCTCCATGACAGTGGTCCAGGGTCCCCAAGGCTGGTGCTCTGACTCAAGACCTAGATAAAAGGAGCAAAGGATTAACATTTACGCCTGACCTCAAACTTTTATTTCATGTTATTTAAATTAGATATAAGAATCTTCCTCTTCTTCCACAATCCACAATTTCTAGTGTTATAACTACCAAATCTTCAATACACTCTTCCCCCCCCACACACACACCCTCTATTGAAGTTATGCAGTGTCTCAAAAGAAACAACCTTTTCATATTCCGTCATAGCTGTCATTAACATAAAACAGCCAGAATGTAAGACAGCACCTCATAATACTAGGGCCACTTTACATTCCCGTAACACTTCGTGACAGTTAAAAATCTTCCCATTTAAAACTTATAGCTATTTCATTTTTATCTGGATCTGCTTAAAACTTATGCTTATCTCATTCTCATCAGCATCATCTTAATAACGGTGACCATTTACCGAGAAGCCACTAGGTGCCTCCTCTCACAGGGCCAGGCTCTCTCTTCACATACATTATCTCTCCCAGTGCCGTTAGGTAAACAATCACATCCCCACCTGACAACTGTGGAAATGAGGTTTTCTGAAGTGAAAGAAGTTGCCCTAGTAAGTGTGGAGTCTTACGCTAGCACATGCTTCTTCTTCAAACCAGAAAAACATCTGTGATTAAGGCAGTATCATTCAGTTTGAGTACTCACTGTCCTCCTTTTATGGAGGGGGCCTAAGATACAGATATGCTGAATACATCATGGAAAGTCATAAAACTAGGAGGTAGGAGAACTAGGCTACAGTCCAGAGAGCCCAAATGGCCGCCTGGTTCCAGCTCAGGTTACTAATAACACTTGTCCTTCTTATAACTCAGTTTCCCCATTTGCAAAGGCTTCACAACTGAATGTAACATGTCATTTTAACAAATGACTCCCAGGTACTGAACATTAAATAGATAGTAATGAAAATCATTAAGAGAGTAAGATTCAATTTTTTTTAGTCCACTAAAGTGATCACAATCCACCCTCTGGGGTGTACACTCACATTCACTGGTAAAAACCAGGCAAAAAAATAAAAAAGAAACAAGAAGACATGTATACCTCCAAAGCAGCACTAAATGATAAGGTTTGTCTTTGTTCATTCTTATTTTTTCTCTTTTGTTAAACCTGGACACTATATTCTGTGCTTCTGAGGAACAGGGGCCACTAGAAATATTAGGTCAGCAGAGCACTCTTTGGTTTACAAATGTAAACATCAAACCAGGATTTGTGCTAAGGGCTGTCAACAGTTTTATTATGATGGGTTTATCTTAATGACTGCCTCCAAAACAGGCAAACAAAGTAAATAAAATCAACCCGCTTGGCCTACTAAACGGAGTTGGGGAGATTTCTTGTTATTCCATTCCCAATATTACCTGATCGCATCAGTATCCCCCAAGAACTATGCATCTCTTCGGTTTCATTTAGGAAATAGCAAAGGTCACTGAAAACATGAGTACAACCCAGGACGAATATAGGAGAAATCATATCAGCTTCAACTCCAGTCTATCTTCTCCCCACATCTTTTGCCAAAATATCAAAGCACTAAACAGATACAGACCCATGAATCCTCATTATCAGCATGTGAAGAAAAAAAGTGGGTAAGGATTAGAGGCAGCACGCACAGTTGTATCGATCACGGGACTCAGTTCACTGGACTCGAAGACATGAGACCCCTTTACTAGCTGGGGGGGGGGGGGGGGGGCACTACATTCATAGGTGAAAATGCTAACAAACTATACGATCGATCCCTCACTCCCCCCGGAATACAATCCTTCCTATTAATTTCTTCCGATTGTGACATGACTACAGTATGGAGATGGAAAGGGACCGGCTTTGAAATCTTTAACAAAATCAAGGGCAGTTAGTTATCAAAACCGGGAGTCCTGGATCCCAGGCACATAAGTCTAGTCGTTCGTGATCAATGTTGGAAGACGAAGCACAGAAAAGAAAAACGACAAAAAGTTTGGGCGGCACGGTGAATTTTTAAGTTTTCAGAATTAAAGGGGGAGAAAAAGTGAGACGCTGATCCACAGAGGTCCCCAGAACGGCTAGCCCACGGTCACCCTGAAAGGTAGTCAGTCTTGGGTGTGATGGGTGGGGTGGGTAGGAGCACAGATACCCCTGGCGAGGGGCTAGGAAAGGGAACTGACGTGGACCCGGTGCAGGGCCGACGGACCAGGCGTTACCTGGAGGGAATCAGCGTCCCGAAGCATGAAACTGTCTTGCAGAAAGGCTGGGGCGCGGGACGGGGTGGCGGGAGAAGGGGGTGGTCCGGGGAAGACCGTGCCAAACAAATGGGAGTGACCTGGAGAACAGGGAATGTAGACGCCCGGGGTCCTCGCTGGTACACAGAACCCTGATGACAAGGAGATTCCGAAGAGAAATCGAACGCAGCGGGGCAGGGGGCGGACAGAGCGGCCCCGGAGCGCACTGGCCCGAGTGAGCGGGGGGACGTGCAGACGATCGCGGGGCGCCGGGCAGGGGCGCGGCAGACAGGAGCCGAGGGACCGGAGGCTGCGGGACCCCGCGCACCCCGAGAAGCGGGGAGCTAACTAGACAGCGAGCATGCTCGGAGGGGAGACCCGAAGTCCGAGGAGGAGAAATGAATGGGAGAGCGAGCGGTCAGAAGCAACGAGGGTGCCGGACAGACAGCATCCCGCACGGCGACGGGAGCAGCAGAAAGGCGAGGACGGGCAGAGCCGGAGGACCGAGCCGGGCGCTGGAGG